TATCACTAGTAATACCCTCATCAAGGTCATTGATATATATTATAAACAACAACGGGCCTAAGACTGATCCCTGTGGTACGCCACTTGTTACAGATCCCCACTCGGATTCAACCCCATTTATGGACACTTTGCTTCCTGTCTGTGAGCCATGACTCTATCCACGAGAGCACTTTTCCCCCAATGCCATGAGCTGCCACTTTCTTTAACGGTCTTTGGTGCGGAACTCTATCAAAAGTCTTACTAAAATCTAAGTAAATAATATCAAATTCTTTATCGTGATCAACTGCCTCAAAAGCTTTACTGAAGAAAGTTAATAAATTAATTAGACAAGAACGGCCTCTAGTGAATCCATGCTGAGTATCATTAATCAAGCTATGCTTATCCACAGCGCTGTATAGCCCTTGTGGCTTAGCGCTTCTTTTTGATTATAATAATAATATGCTTATCCAGATGGCTTCTTATAATCTCAGCTATAATTGATTCTAGTAATTTGCCTACAATTGAGGTCAGGCTTATTGGGCGGTAATTTGACGGTAACGACTTGTCCCCTGTTTTAAAAATAGGAATTACATTAGCCATCTTCCACATATCAGACACTACACCTGTTTGAAGAGATAAATTAAAAATATTAGTTAATGGTTCACAGAGTTCCATTTTGCATTCCTTAAGAACCCTTGAAAAAAACCTCATCAGGACCCGGCGACTTATTTTGCTTCAGTCGGTCTATCTGCTTCACAGCCATTTCACTAGTGACTGTGATGTTACATAATTTATCTTCAGACCCACTATCAAAATTAATTTCTGGAATATTGTTAGTGTCTTCCTGTGTAAAAACCGAGAGAAAATAATTATTTAAAATCGAGCACATTTCATTCTCTTTGTCAGTAAGATGCCCATAGTTATTTTTAAGGGGACCTATCTTATCTCTAACTTTTATTCTATAGACCTGGAAAAAACTTTTTGGGTTAGTTTCCGAATCCCTAGCAACTTTAATTTCATAATCCCTTTTAGCTTTTCTTATCCCCTTTTTGATGTCCCTCTTAATGTCAATATACTGATTCATAAGATGACCCTCACCTCTTTTGATACGCCTATAAATTCCCTTCTTATGCCCTAGTAGATATTTCAGCCTATTATTCATCCATTTTGGGTCATTTCTATTTGATCTAATTTCTTTATACGGGATAAACGTTCTTTGAGCAGCAAGTATAGTGTTCAGAAAACTGTCATATTGACAGCTCTCTTCGTTACCCCAGTCAACAGATAAGTGTTCTCTAAACCCATCGTAATCTGCTAAGCGAAAATCTGGGACTGTTACTGAGTTATCCCTACTATCATACTTCCATTCAATGCTAAATGTAATTGATTTGTGGTCGCTATCACCCGGTTCCTCTGAAATTTCTAAATTATTAACAAAGGATTCATTGTTTGCCAGAACTAAGTCAAGCAGGTTATTTCCCCTTGTAGGTTCTGTCACAAACTGCTTCAAAAAACAATCCTGAACTACTTCTAAGAAGTCGTATGATTCTAAATTCCCAGCCAAGAAATTCCAATCAATATGACTAAAGTTAAAGTCTCCTAGAATTACTACATTATCGTGACCATACCCCAGGCCGGGATTGAACCCGCGGTCATAGAGTCTCAAAACTCCAGCCCGTCCCGTTTGCAATCGTGTCATTACGATTTCTTGAGTCAAGTTACATTATCGTGCCTTGTGGCCTTAACAATTTCCTCCCATAGTAGTCTCCCTTGGTCCCTATCTAAATTTGGGGGACTGTATATCACACCTAAAATCAATTTTTCATGCCCCTCTGAAAATTCTATCCAAACAGACTCTGTATGAGTTACTTCAGACTTAATACCCGTTTTTATGTAACAGTTCAAGCGATCTCGGACATACAATGCCACCCCACCCCCCTTCCCGATACTTCTATCTACTTGGAACAATTTAAAACCCTGAATGTGACATTCTGCAGGCATGTCCCGATTTTTCATATTGAACCACGTCTCAGTTAAGGCAAATACATCAGTGTTACCTGCACTAGCAACTAGTCTCAACTCGTGCATCTTATTCCTAGCACTACGACTATTTGTGTAATATATATTTAAAGACCCTCCTTTCTCTTTACCCTTCCTGCTCCTTTCTGTTATTCCACTAAACCTATTACTGCCCTTGTCAATTAGTGCCACTGGCTTTCCAATAGCCACCTCATTTTGCTTATTGCTAGTTCTCGTAGTACTCATATTACTACACTGCGACTTCACTGTTTTCCCCCCAAAACCCATACCACTAACTATTCCTAGTTTAAAGACCTAACAGCTCCCTCCACTGCAGTTGCCAGTGCTCCCACCCCACACCTAGATAAGTGAACCCCATCCATGGCATACATGTCATTTCTGCCATAGAAGAGGTCCCAGTTGTCAATGAATGTTACCGCATTTTCCTTACAGTATTTTTCCAGCCAGCAATTGACACCAATTGCTCTGGACAACCATTCATTTCCAACTCCTCTCCTTGGCAAAATACCACATATGACAGGGTTCTCACCCTTCCTCCTAATTATCTCTATTGCTGACCTATACCTGCTAATCAGGTCCTCACTCCTACGTCTGCCAACATCGTTGCCTCCAGCACTGAGGTGATTGCTCCCAGTACCTCTCATGATGTCATCCAGACGGCTAACAGTATCCTTCATCCCAGCCCCAGGAAAACACACTCTCTGCCTCCTACTCCTATCATTCAAGCAGAATGCCCTATCCATGTACCTAATCTGGCTATCCCCAACAAGAACAATGTTTTTACCTTCCTTGGCGACGTCCGTCGTGATGTTCCCAGTAGTTGACTCACATTCGTTAGGTAGCACTACACCCTCACTTGAGGAATTCGTCAAGACGTTCTCGATGGTTTTCGTTGGGGTTTTTAGGGATGTCTCACTCACATCAGCCAATGCTTCCGTGGTGCTCGTTGTGACATTCCCAGTAGAACACCCACATTCGTCAGGTAGCACCGAGAATGGGTTGGAAGTTTCCACAGTAGTCTTCTGGGTCCTCGTTGTTTCTGCCTCTCCAACAGTCTTCTTGATCCTCAGCTTGATTCCATGTTGCCCGGCCACTGACCAAGCTCCCCTCTTAACCTGGGGACTCACAACAGGATTACTTCGAATCCTCTTGTTCTCCGTTAATCGCCGTATCTCCTGCTTAGCAACCCTAAGCTCTTCTTTCAGCTGCTGGTAACGTTGCTCAAGAGAGGGCATCCTGGTTCAGATTCACAGAGAGCACACAAACAGGTCTTCACAGAGCTAAGTACACGTCACCACTGACTGAATCTAATTGCCCTCCATTCCTCAGGCCCTGTCCTCTACAGATTTTGCTCCTCCCCCTGGTTGTAATAAATAAATTTAAAGGTGTAGTGGAAGGATGGGGCAATACAGTAAGAATTGTTGATGTCGCTGAGAGCAATTGAACTACACTTCCTCAGAAATCCCCAAAACACCTACAGAAGCTGTTTTTATTTATATTTGCCAAATATAATAAGTTTCTCTTAATTGAAAAGATAAGTATTGCATTTTTGTTAAGTAGCTGGAGAAGCCCTACACTAAATTTGTTAAGAAAACAATTAGCGTGCTAATTGGCAATACTATTTAGTTAATATATATTTAAGCTTAATTAAATCTGGGGAAAAAAATATTGTATTTGCATTTAAAAGTATTTCAGTCATGTTTCACCAGTAATATTAGTAGTGCATAAATATTACAACTATACAACCCATTAATTATTAACTTCCAGTAGCATTTGTAAGTCGTAATAATGTTGGCAGAATCACCCACAATGTTAGGTACAAGGTCACGTATGCAACTAATGAGAAGATAGTTTATTATGGCAACGTTTCGCTCTCCAGGAACTTGGTCAAGCCAAAATTAGGTTTCCCAAACTCATGGAGAGCGAAACTGCCTCAATAAAATGTCTCAGTTACACACGTCATCTTGCCTACTAACGTTTCTGCGTCGTGTAGAAAAGTAATGAAATGATATTCAAACCATAAAGGAATTTGAATAATGCAACAAGATAAAGAATAACAGAGCTATAATAAATATACCTTATCAACAAAATCAAGCGAGTTCTCTATTAATTTACGTTCTCGGCCTCTTGCAACAAGATGGGAGGGCTTAATTGAGCCAAAAATTCACAGGTAACATTACATAAAGCTTGAAATGTGAAAGTAAATACAAAAACAGTTCTTTGATGTATGAATTTGTAGAGTTGACCATGTCTCTGATGAGGGGCTCTTGATCTAGGGAATTGGATCTGTGCACCGGTTCCTTGAATTGAACCTGAATATCTTCCATCCCCCCCATATGCACTGTATAATCCTACGGGCTTAGCGTTCCCCCATGATTATGATCTTGATTCAAGGAACTAGGCTTACCCTCCCCATTCTTGAATCGACACTAATTTGCCTCCCATACTTCAAACGCTGTATGACCCCCTGTGGATTTAGCGCGTCCCCTGATTAAAAAACAGCTTATAGTGTTGTAGAGGTAGAATCTGAGTTCGATGATGTGGACATCGAAGTTGGACTTACAGCAGCGTGAAGAGTCACCAACAAAGAAACGAAAACGAAATTTGACTTGGACACTTCATGTTAAAAGTGCATTTTGAAAATTAAAGTACTGTGACCCATACGGGTTTACCGCTTGTTAATATAGTAATAAGAATAATAAAATATAGTCATACAGTTAACCATATGAATAACATTTTTTTCTTTGAACGTGAATGCGCAAATAAAATTTACCCATATTTTAAAAGGTATTCATACAGTGCGCTATTAAGAAACATGTCTATAAATAAGCCCTGAGTAACTGTTTAATTCACCCAGGATGCAACTATTTGAGTGTCTGATATACTTCCTTGTCGAAGCATTATATAAATACCTTTTAATGGTGGAATATCCGCCCAAGACAAGTCTTTGGTACAGTAATAACTTAAATTTAGCATCGCACCTTTCGTCGCCTCATCCGCTCATAGAGAGGAGTCAGCTCCCTCACGTCAGCCACGTCAGCCAGTGTCCTCAGTAGTGAAGCTCCCCTCTCACCATCATTGCTTGTCGGTGTTGCCACGTCTCTGGTAATGTCAGCTCTCAGCGGTGTTGACACGTCTCTGGTAATTTCAGACCTCAGCAGTGTTGACACATCTCTAGCAATGTCAGACCTAAGCGGTGTTGACACGTCTCGTATAAAATCGGACCTCAGCGGTGCCATGTCTCTTGTAACATCCTGTGTAACGTTAGATCTCAGCGGTGTTGTCACGTCTCTTGCAACATCAACTCTCGGTTCTTCTGCCAAGTTTTGTGTAGTATCAGTCCTCAGCGGTGGTGCCAGGTTTTGTGTAGTATCAGTCCTCAGCGGTGATGCCATGTCTTGTGTCTCATCAGCACTCAGCAGTGTTGCCAAGTTTTGTGTATTATCAGTCCTCAGCGGTGTTGCCAGGTTTTGTGTATCAGTCCTCAGCGGTGATGCCACGTCTTGTGTTTCATCGGCACTCAACTGTGTTGCCAAGTTTTGTGTAGTATCAGTCCTCAGCGGTGTCGCCAAGCTTTGTGTATCAGTCCTCAGCGGTGATGCCACGTCTTGTGTCTCATCAGCACTCAGCAGTGTTGCCAAGTTTTGTGTAGTATCAGTCCTCAGCGGTGTTGCCAAGTTTTGTGTAGTATCAGTCCTCAGCGGTGTTGCCAAGTTTTGTGTAGTATCAGTCCTCAGTGATGATGCCACGTCTTGTGTATCATCAGCTCTCGATGTTGCCACTTGTGTAAAATCGACTTTTAGTGAGTCTGCCATGTCTCGTGTAACGTCAGCATTCAGCGGCATTGCCACATTTCGTGTAGTGTCAGCCTTCAAAGGAACTGCCTCATGTTGTGTAGTATCAGCCTTTAACAGTGTTGCCTCATCGTTCATTACATCAGCTGGCGCCAGTGGTGTTGCCGCAGGTTGTGTACCATCAGCACTCTGTATCGTTTCAATATCTGAAGTGTCAGCTTTCAATGTTATTACCTCACATGTAATCTCAGACTTTAACGGTGATGCCCCGTCTCTTGTAACGTCAGCTATCAGCGGTGATAAGACACCCTGTGTAGGGTCAGCATTCAATGGTGTAATGTCAGCTTTCTGAGATGTAGTTTCATCGCGTGTGGTATCAGCATTCAACAATGTTGCCATATCTGTAGTGTTATCCCTTAGCTGTGATGCTGTATTTCCTGACATACTTACTCCTGAAACATCAACAGCGAGCATTTCTGCATTTCCTGCAACATCCTCTGACATAAGTGCAGGATTTCCTGCAGTATCTCCTGACATTCGTGCCACATTTCCTGAAGTATCCCCTGACATCGGTTCAACATTTTCTGGAATATCCCTCGATATTGGTGGAACATTTCCTAGATTATCCCTTGACACTGTTGCTGCATTACCTAGATTATCCCTTGACACCAGTTCCACATTTTGGGGAGTATTCCCCAACATTGGTGCCATATTTCCTGGAGTATCCCCTGTCACATTACATGGATTATCTCCTGACATTGTCTCCTTTTCTAAATTATTAAGACTAGGCTCTTCTGCAGTATTCCTTGAAGCGTGAGCTGACGCTGATGCCAGCTTGCCTGCTGAGCTGTCAGCTTTCAGTATGGCTGCCACGTTCCTTGAAGTTTCAAGTCTTGATAGTATTTCCATTTTCCTCGTATCAGATCTTGATGAGGTTGCTGCACTTGTTGGTGAGCCGACTCCTAGCAACGATGTCACGTACTTTGATGCGTCGTACTTCGATGCGTCGTACTTCGATGCGTCGTACTTCGATGTGTCACCCCTCAGCGATGATGCCATACTTCGTGGAGAATCGTCTAACAATGATGTTGCATACTTTGATGCATCCGTTCGCGAAGAAAGTGAAGTGTTTCTCGAGGTATCAGGTCTTGATCTTGGTGAGAAATTTTCCGAAGTATCAAGCTTAGAAGACATTGTTACGTTTCTTGAAGTGTAAGAATCTCTGTGACCCTTCAAGATGTCATCATTATCTGTTCTCAGACCCCTGATGGTATCGGTGGCATTGGCTCTGAGACCCCTAAAGGTGTCAGCAGTGTCAGTCCTGAAACCTCTTAAGGTGTCAGCAGTGTCCGTCCTGTAACCTCTCAAGCTGTCAGCAGTGTCTGTCCTATAACCTCTCAAGGTGTCAGCAGTGTCTGTCCTGAAGCCTCTCAAGGTGTCAGAAGTGTCTGTCCTGAAACCTCTCAAGGTGTCAAAAGTGTCTGTCCTGAAACCTCTCAAGGTGTCAGCAGTGTCCGTCCTAAAACCTCTCAAGGTATCAGCGGTGTCCGTCCTGAAACCTCTCAAGGTATCAGCAGTGTCAGTCCTGAAACCTCGCAAGGTGTCAGTAGTGTCCGTCCTGAAACCCCTCAAGGTATCAGCTCTGGAGTAAACTGTGTCCGCCGAAGATGAGCCAAGGCCAGCAGCCCTGGTGGGTGTGCGCGACCACCTCTGCAGCGGGTCATCGCTGTCAGCAGACTCCTGCTGGTACAGGTGCATGTATGACGACCTCACCTGTAAACGTGACCATGTCATGTGTAGTAGTGAGGAGGGAGGAGTTTGTATTGGTGGTGTCTGGGGACACTTACCATTTCCTACTCAATCTTCCAAAACCTAAACCAGATCGTTACTTAGAGAGAGAGAGAGAGAGGGAGAGAGAGAGGGAGAGAGAGAGGGAGAAAGAGAGAGATTTCTTACTTGAAGAGCTTTTACTTTGCAAAAGGATTTGAGAGTCAAATGTATTTAATCTTAACTGGCTAGGAAATTTGTTGGCTTCAGTTTATATATAAATTTAGTCCATAAAATATTTTAACTATGAGACATTGATAATGAGTGTTACGTGAAGGTGTATAGGTGGTTAAGGTTCAAGAAACAGGCGGTGTTAGCGTTCTTCAGCCTAATCTGTAGGCTTAGGTGTTGAAGGCTCAGTAAACAAGCTGATAATTTTTGGGTTAGAGGAAGGCATGTATAAGTAGTTACGGCTCAGTGAATAAATGGTGTTAACATTCTTCAACCTCCGGAAACACGCTGACCTTGAAGCACTTTTCATCACTGATCCGAGAGCTCCATAAATTTATTAAATCTGCCATGGCACCTTGATGTGATAACATCTTGGAGGGAAGATAATTAGTCCATTCCTGGGCGCTGCGGTGTACAGGATTGGCGTTAGTCACTTGTTACTGTAGCAGCAGTTGGCGATGTTTTTTGTTTATATTCCTTGACAGTTATGCTGTTAATTGAAGTCTGTTACTCCACAAGCCTTGTCAACATTGGCGTTAGTTATTCTTATGTTAGCTGGTTAAATTACGTGAGCTCCGCGTCTTGTTAATCTGAAATAAAGGTTTAGTAAAAAATCATCGAAGAGTCAGCAGGTGTAAATAATATATTCCTTTAATGTTGTGCTGTATTTTATTTCTGGCAGTATTCATTTGATTATATTCCATCAATTACGGGGACGTCGTGAAAAGTTAAAGCTACGGTACTGTGACTTATTCTTCAGTCATTTATTAATTCAGCCACTGGAGCGCATTACGACTCCTAAGAGTTTTGCGTTGTACCATGAATGTAATATAATAGAACCATTGTAAGTCAGTCCCTCTCTACTCCCCACTCAAGTAGTGTGTCAGACCCTGTTCTCTCCCACATGGCTAATAATTATAAACAAAAATGAGAATCCTGTCTTGAGTAAGGAACTTGACAAGTTCCTGATCGGCCAGGGCGTGTTGCTTACGTCGCACTGCGTCAGGAATTAAGACACATATGCAACACACATGTATATAATTCCTCATCTTGTCAGTGTTGTATACCAATATTGTAATGATACGTGTCATGCTGCGTGATGCGAGCACTAACAGCCTCGCATATCATTTGAGGTCACGCACAAAAATATTCACTATGGTTAAGTCAGTTTGGGTGTGGACTCCCAATAGTAAGAATGCTGGTTCGATCTCAGTAATAATTAATATTAATTTCACGTTACACACACACACACGCATGTTTGTATATATATATATATATATATATATATATATATATATATATATATATATATATATATATATATATATATATATATATATATATTATATTATATTATATATATATATATATATATATAATATATATATATATATATATATATATATATATATATATATATATATATATATGCAAGGAATTCGCAAGAGCAGGCGAAATATACACAAACACTGATCTCTGGCTGAAGGAGACTCGAACCTACGAACAAGGTACGCAGTGCATTACCAATCTACCCACACTGGACCAATACCTTAGAGTCCAGCTTGCGCTAGACTTTGATCCAAGGCAGCCAGCTTTCAGGGAGAAGGCTTACAGCTTTTCATCTCATCCCTTGCATGCATCAGCCTTACTAGAGATATTAACAATGCAAGGAATTTGCAAGAGCAGGCGAAATATACACACTGATCTCTGGCTGAAGGAGACTCGAACCTACGAACCTTGGAACAAGGTACGGAGTGCTTTACCAATCTACCCACACTGGACCAATACCTTGGAGTCCAGCTTGTGCTAGACTTTGATCCAAGGCAGCCAGCTTTCAGGG